AAAGTCAGTTTGATAAATTGAAACTTGTTTGAATAAATCAATAAAAAAGGTTAGATGTAAAATAATTAAAAATAGCATGAATTTTATAACTTACCACATTTGATTATTGAAACGAGATTTAAATTTTAATTTGAAAGATTAAGCAAGTTAAATAAATTACTTTAAAGTACTTATATTATCTTCTTTTAAAATTAATTTTGCTTAATTATAAACTAATATGTAATCTAATGATATATTCTTTCGGTCCTTAATATAGGACGCAATTTTAAAGTTAATTTTGGTTTGAATATAAGACCTATTTTTTATATTTATTAATTTTTCTTAAATTACCTATATAGATACTCCTTTAACCATAATCAAGTAAATGAGAGATGGAGGATATCAAGAAAGATGATTATGATGTTTTAGAAAAATATCATATTTTTTATAATTAACTAACTTACTTAACTTTCTTAATCTAATCAAATTAGTTAAATGGTTTTATATTAATGACTGATAGAGTACATAAATACTTTAGATAGATCATATAATATAATATAATCAAGTAACTTATTTATTTTCCTTAATCTCTTTAAATGAGGCTATTTAGATCATATGTTAAGGAATGAAAGTAGTATATCAAATGTGTACAATTTGATAAATTCAAGAAAAGTAATAAATTAAAATAATTAAATTTTATGAGTTAATTTTGTTTGCTTTTTAAGAAAAAAATATCAAGTTATTGGATCAAATTATAAGTCACTCAAATTATAAGTCACTCAAATACTTTTATTTTTCTTTTCATTCTCATTATTTTCTCTCTCCACCTTGGTCTCTCCACATTTTCAAGGGGAAAAGCTCAAATTTTGAGCTTTGCTTGTAACTCGCTTTCTTCAAGAAGCTTTTGGAGAAAAAGCTAAACCCTTCAATGCTGGTTACACATTATCTAAGGCACGTTTATAGTTGTAAAACCCAATCCAAACACACACTGAATCTGAGGTTTGAATTCAGTCACGTAGTTTTGATATTAAATATGCCTATATATATATATAATATATATATATATAAGAAATGTTTATTTTTTCAAGGTATTAAATTTTTTGCCATATGTTTTTAAAGTATTAGTGCAATCTCAGTGACCAGTTATTATAGGTGAAAATGTTTTAAATTAATTTATTAATCACTAAAGATTTTCTTCCAAAATTATCACCTTGACCAACGAACTCTTACTTCCTGCGCCATGCAACATGATAGAAATTTGTCATGGATTCATAAAGTTTTTAATTAATTAAATCGATGTTTTCTCATTAAAATTTAATTTTTAAATATTAATTAGCAATATAGAAATCTATGAAAAGTAATCTTTATTTTTAATTAAAAATAAATTTTTTAATAAATGATTATCAATTGAAGGATAATTATTTATTTTCAAATAAATTATTTTTTGATTTAATAAAAAGCTCGAACTTCATTAATCTAATATAATGCATCAGATTTATTGGTTAAAATATATTTCCCTTCTAGCTAGGTGAAAGAATAATTTTTCCTGATTTTTTTAATCCAATTTAATTTTTTTAGTACAATTTATAGCTTTCAAGTATTTTCTATGTGCTAAATATAAGATTTCAACTTATTTTATCTATTTTTCATAAAATAAAAATTTTTTTTATCTCTCAAATTTATAATTTTAAAAATTCTCTTATTAATTGCATATATTAAGATAATTTTTCATAAAAATTTTTAAATGAAAATAATTAAAATAATATTTTATAGAAACAACACATTTATATTTTTTTTTCCAGCGAAACCAACACATTTAATTAAATAATAAACCAAATCAAGGACCAATTTTTTTTTCTTTTTATAAATATGGGTTCGTTCCTTGCTTCAACTTCCATACTTCCATTTTATTTTTTTCCCTTCCCACAGTGTTTTTCAAAACTGCTTTTTCTTTTCTTTTTTTTCCCCTGCCCCACGAGTCGTCTTCTCTGAGCTATATATCTCTTTCTTGCTCTGTAATCTGACCCCGAAATAGCAGCGATTTCACCCTCTCACAGCCTCATACACTGAAGTGGGACTTTACAATAGAGAAATCCCAGGAGTTACCTCTCAAGGATTCCCTAGAAATCCGGCACCGGCATGGCGTCGTCGAAGTTGGTCACGACGAATCCGGATCTGCCACGCCAGTCTTCTTTATATTCCCTTTCTTCTATTCTCGCTGATCTCCAGAACAACACCCACAACACCAACAACACCACCAATAATACTAACAACCACAACGATTCCAACGCCGGCGCCGACGACCCTTCCAAGGCTTTGGGTTCTTTGAGCATGGATGATCTCCTCAAGTCCTATTACTCTTCTTCATCCGATCCCAATAATAACCCCAACCCGGCGCACCTCCCGTCGGACCCCAATTTCCCCGCGCTGCTGCTGCTGCTGCTGCGGCTGCGGCGGAATTGGGCACCAAGACGGCCGAGGAGGTGTGGCAGCAGATGGTGGAGGGTGGTGATCAGAGGCGGATGGGTGCAGGGGAGGGTTTGGAGGCCATGACTTTGGAGGATTTTTTGGCCAAGGCTGGAGCTGTAAGAGAGGAGGATGTCAGAGGGGTTCCTACCGTAGTACCTGGCCATGCGAGTTTCCGCGTGGATGCTGCGGCGACGGCCGCCGCCATCAACGGTGGCGCTCAGTTCCCGATGCCAACGCCGGTGCAGGTTAAGGAAGGGTCGTCCATAGAGGTTTTTGGAAATGGGATTGACGGGACAGTAGTTGGAGTTGCAGCATCAGCGGGAAGAGGGAAGCGAAGGATTGTGGAGGAACCCGTTGATAGGGCCACGCTTCAGAAGCAGAGAAGGATGATAAAAAACAGAGAGTCTGCAGCCAGGTCTAGAGAACGCAAGCAGGTTACTTCACCTTATCTGTTTGACCTCTTTTCTTAAATGATATAATATGATATGATTCTCATTTAAATTAAATTAAACTGATGCGTTTTTTTTAATCGGTATATACATATTTGCATTTGCATGCCGTTACTTCATCAATTTACGTTGAAATGATGATTTGTTTGAAAATTCTATTAAGTCATATCATAACGGGGAACTAGCTTTCTCTTTAATCTATAGAGGGTGTTGAATTGAGTGTTTTGTGCTTTCTTGATTTATGTTAGTTTGAACTTCCATTTTATCCTGTTTAGTCTCAGATTGTTTCCCAAGTGGTAACTGATTTATAAAAGCTGATCAGTATAACGTTCTTTACAGGCTTACACTGTTGAGCTAGAGACTATGGTGACACAGCTCGAGGCAGAGAATGCACAACTATCGAGTGAAATGGTATGCTTGTAGAAGTTGAAAAATTTTCGTATTCATGTGTCTTGTGTAGTTACAGACCGTGTCCACACGCTCTGCAGCTTCAAGTGCTGCTTTGCTATTTTTCTTTTGAAAATTAAGCACGCAGTTCTGTTAGAAGAGACACGATACTAAAATTTCATATCTTTTAACGCTGTCATAGATGAGGTGCGCTACACAGTTTTTCTTTTTTCCTTTTTTTGTTTGCAAATACACTTTAGCCTGTAAAGCTGGCTCTTTGGTAGCCTGTGCGATGGATTTTCTACCTTTCTTCTTTGAGTTAAATACTGATAATTAAATGACGATTTCACGTTCCTTTATAGCTTTTATCCTGGTTATTTTATTTTATTTTATTTTATTTTTTTAATGTTAATCTTACTGCTGTCCCTAGAATCTAATTTCTGCAAGAGTTTTTGAAATATTCGGATTTGAATGCAGGCCGAAAAGGAGAAGCAGAGGTTCAAACAGGTATGTAGATCATCTCCTCCTCTGCTTGGACTACATGCAAAAATGCTTGTAGCACTTGTGAATCGGCTAGGATCAAAGTAGTCAAAGATAATAGGCGGGTACAAGGTGCTAATGCCTTACATGTGGTGTTAGAAAAGGCACATGATCTAGTGAAGCAAAATGCTAAAGTAGGAAAATATATGCTTTACAAACAAAACTCGATAAATGTAAATTCGGAGCAACATTTTTGACGAGATGAACTATTCTCGCATAATAATCATATAGTCATAAATCAAATAATCATCAAATGCACTCCTTTAAGTCACTAATATCACTACTCAAGCATAAGAATCATTAAGTCATAACTCATAATTATATCGTGTGCACTTATAAAATTTATAATTTTACCCTTATGTCACTTGTACATGTGTTCTATGGGTTACCAAAAGTGCTTGTTTGTGTCTGTGGTCCCTTGGGGGTGGCGGCTTTATTTAAAACCTAATAATCTAAATATTGTAAGATAAGAATAACTACGACTATTTGCTCTATTCTTAAATATCTTGAGTCTTGGGCTAGGCTTAAGATTGAGAGATTTTGTAGTTTCCTAATGTATCCTATCAGTATCTTTTAAAGTTTTGGACTAAGCTAATAAATAAACTTCTTCTTCGCTTCAAACACACAAAAGTGCCGAAGTCAGGGTGCTTTCCCTGAAAGCTGGAAAAAGCACCAAAGGCACTCATCTAGAAGTGTCTTGTTGAAGGCAGCGCCTCTGATGGGCGCGAGGCACTAGCCTTGAGTAGTGTCTTCCTTTAGCGCCTTATGATACAATAACTGAGATTGTTCTCCTGGGATTGTACTCATTATAGCTATTATCATACTGTTCGTTTCTTAAGTACTCATTGTAATATGTTTGGGATCAAATGTAATCTGCCTTTAGTGCATATTTGGCATTTGGAACTGCAGGTCTGAAAAGTATGTCGGATTGTTAAACATTTCATGTTAAAGTGGATCTCATTCCCTTAAAATAACGAAAATGGTTTTTTTATTTGTAGCTGTAATTGTGATGTAAAAAGAGATATCTTATTTGCAGTAAATGGTAATTTTATTCCTAAGAAGATATATTACTTGTCATGTGGCTCACATTTATAATAATTATATTATGGTGTGCATTTATTCCAGATCTGAACTGGTTCTCTCTATCTTTTTGACTTTGTTTTATAGTTATTATTAATGTTATAGGAACCACAGGGGGCTAGTCGGTCCACCTAGTAAACTAGATGCCAATTCAGTTTGGTTCCATTGTTGCACCAGTCATACACATAAAATTTCAATTTTTTTATTTTTATTTTTACAGTGATCCTCCCAATCCTAGAGTAAGGACTGTAACATAAGGCCTATCATGTAAGGGGAATGTTATTGATGTGATACTTTCGAGGAGGAGTGGCCTGAGTAGTGGCCCTAGATGCAGCCATAGCCCTTGGGCACCCTGTAGAGGTACTGCCTCTTTCATCTCCAAAATCCACTCTTTAACGGTCCCAACATCCCTGTTCGACTCCTCCACAATCCACACTTCCTTCAATCCTATCACCTCTTGGTCTAACTGTTCCACATGTTCACTCATCCTCCTGCCCATTAATTGACCTTCTTTGATGCTGAATTGGTAGAGACCTGCAAACTTCTTCAAACTGGAAATAAAATAAACGGTAACAGCTATAAATAGAGGGGAAATGCTGGGTTTTGATATTCCTAGGACAAAATACGCCGAATCAGTTCCATGAGGCTGACATTGATTCTAGCCAAAACCCTGACCCCAGTTACACCCAAACGCCAAGATACAACACAAATCACAGGTATAGGTTACACAGAACAGAAAGCAAGACACACAAGGCAGTGACTCTGGCTTTTGAGGGGTCAGAACTCTCCTAAACCACACTTTTACTTCCAAAGGACTAATTCCCTGTCTCCTTTTGGCTGGAGAGGCTTTTTTCAAGACCAAAAAGTTACTACAAAGTACAAACACCTCCCACCTTTAGCTACACCTGAACCGTACTGCTACCCCACCTCTTTGCCCTTACGGTTATGAACGTCAGTATAATTCTCTTGTCCACTGGAGTTACTTTTTCCCACACGCTTTTCTTTCCTGGATCTTCTGCTAAAGGTCCTGGGGAATGATATGTTAATCTTTGAATTTCCAGATCTATCACATTACTATTGTATTGAATTGGAAATTAGGAGTATGATTCCCATATCCCATGAGAAAGGATCCGCGTGATTGTATCTGGCTGCCAGTATTTTGATTCGCTGAACATGGCATTTGTATATTTGAGAAATCAAATAAGTTCTTGCCTACATCCTTTGGTTTTATCGGCAGAGTTGTTCATTTTTAATAATCTCCTATTGTGAAATTGGCTTCATAACACATTTTCTTGATGGTTGAATACTTCTCAAAAATAAAACTGTTAAACACTCATACCTGGAGTAATGGCAAAATCGCCATGTTAATTTCATCTTTCCATTTGGTTTATTAAAGGCACGGTTTTAGGGAGATGGCAGAGACTTTTTATTTTTGCCCCTGGCGGGTTTGGATGGGTTTTTTCCTTCTACTTCTTCTTGTTGGTTTTTTTTTTTTTTTTTGGGGGGGGGGGGTGGTTCTTGGGGAATTGAGTCTCACACCCTTACAATCTCCTAGGCGTAGGAGCGGCATTTGCAACCAAGTGAGACTAGGGTCATGGGCATCTGATTTTTGCTTTCAGTTTTACCAATATGTTGCCTTTAGCATCTTGACAATGAATCTAATCTGAATCTCCTGCAATTTTGCCTGCAGCTCATGGAAAACCTTATTCCAGTGGTGGAGAAGCATAGACCACAACGAAAGATTCGGAGAGTGAATTCAGCCCACTGGTGATCTGATCAGCAATTTTCGTCTGACGGATTGGTTTCTTTGGCCTTGTGAGAGTGAACTTGGTCCATTGGTGATTTCAATATGTAATTTTTGACCTGATGGATCGACCTAATGGCCTGTAGATAGTAATCAAATGGAGCAAGATGATTTTAGGGAAAAGGGGAAACAGTTTCAGGGTTATTCCATAGCTGGTTATCTTTCAGAGGCACTTGGAGCTTACCTTGTATAGAGAAAGTAGCTGGCAAGTCAAATAATGCAAGTAAAAGTGATAGAGGTTAAGGTCATTGATTTGTTGCTTGTGGAAGATCCATGGTTATGATGGATTCTGAGCAGATAGGTCCTGTTGCTAAAAAGTTGAAATAAGTGAGGTTATTGTATTATGCTGATGGTCCAGCAAGGCTTCCCTTGCTTGTTGATATTGAGTGAAAGGAGAAGGGGAGGCTGATTGATCTGGAGTAGCCCTTTCTTTGTTCTTTTTCGCTTTTTGAGATTTTTTACTAGTATTGCAGGAGTTTATAGAATCTTTACCCTAGAGAGCGCTGACAGTACATTATTTGTAACAAGACTGATCTTGAATGATATTGCTGCTCATTTTGATTTCAAGATTCTACTTGTAATTCATTACTAATAATCACATTCTTTTGCAATTTTCTCAGTTTTTATTTATTCTTCTAGACTCTTCCTATATACTATGAAAAATCTGGCTGGACAACAGTTCTTTGGTCTCTTAGTTTGCACAAGCGCGGAAGGAAATATTCAATATATAATGCAGTCTT